ATTTTAGAAAATATCAGACGGGTGTTTTTCTCTTCTTGGTAAGTAACACTAATAATATTTTAAGTAATCTCATCCTCCTTTACCAGGCCCAATGCATCGTCAGACATGTGATTTATAGCAACTATATAACTGACGTATCTGTTGTAAAATGTAACTTTCTTTCTGAGACCATTAGTCAGATGTTCAATACACAAAATGGATGCTTCAGCTAACAGTGGAATCGAAAGGCTATCTATATCAACCATATGTTTATTTAATCGAGAAATGATTTCACTGTGTATCGCAAGGCTGAGAATAGATTCTTTAATGGAATGTAGTACATAGTAGCGTAGTCTCTGACTAAAGCATGATCCAGTTTTCCATAATTACCAGACAGAAAGTTAACATACATTTGGGTTGTTGGATTATCCATTTTAAACCGATTATAAGATTACCTCCTATATACACCTATATTTGACTATTATTGAGAGAATTATCTCAATTAAGTTGCGCAATTCTCAGAGCAAACATCATGAAGTGATGTTTCCAAATGACATAATGAACTCTATAGCCATTGATTTAAAAACACTTAACACCGACAAAAAAATGCAATCAAAACCTGAGAGAGAGAGAAACAATAACACATTTCACAAGAGGTAAAGTTCACGAAATGTGCAGTCATCATTGATAAGTACAACATAACCACAGATAACTGACATTCATCAAGCCTTCCTTTCGAATCACCACCATGAAAATAACACATGTGAAAATGTTCCACAGTGAAATCGAACTTCCACAATCGAGAGTAAGATACTCAGTCTAGACAACATGGTCTCTGAGGAATTAAACAGCTTCCTACTCAAGACACTCCACTGGATAGTACGAATCCAATTATCTTCCTACTTGATTACAAAACATTAATTGCATAGGGAGAAAACGGAGTAAGAAGCAACAAAGGGAAGTCAGAGCAAAGAAATGAAGATAAAATGATAAACTGTCAAGGTTATACAGGTCATCTTAGCAGTATTTGATGGGAATTTTGACACAAATTATCTTCTACATGATGTTGTGTTGTGATACAAGTAACACAGGTGAGGCTGCATCATATACTTTAGTGTTAGTGAATACAGGGAATAAGTTGATTGGATGTGGTCAGGTATGAAGTCTATCTACAATGTGAGAAGTGGACTACTCACAAGAATCTTCTAAAATAAGGTAGAGTAAGGAATAGCAACAAGTTGTACAGTAGGTGAGATGAAGCAGGAGCTAGAAACCTCGTCATAAAACAAGGTTCCTCCATCAACCCATCACGTTGCCACACACTAGGAAGTCAAGAATATTGTCAGTCCACCTCCTCTAATTCACATGAGACATGATAGATTATGCAGGTGGAATCTTATGTGTTGATAGACGTTGTCAAAATACCGATGCACTTTAATGAACTGTGTAGTGGATCGTGTATGAGGCAGGTAACATAACGTGACAATGTGACAAATTGTTTACATGCTTGAGTGTCCCTTTAACCTAACAAGTCCGTTCAAACTACTAAGATTGTTTTCGAACACTGGCTATTGATCTGAGACGTTTATTTGCTCCAACCTTAAGATCAAATAATAAGGTGCATATAATATGCAACGAACCTCGCCTGGTTAACTAGTTCACTAGTTACTAGCCGGTCCTAAGCCCGGATAAAGAGGGAAGGTTGGGCATATAGCTAGCAACCCTACCCAAGAAAACAAATCTAACCGCTAAAGAAACTTCAAAGCACAAACGAAACATAAAAAATGAAAACAAACTTATTCCTCGTTGGAATCGGAGAGGCGAAATGACGCCAGTTGGTGAAAGCCTGCCTTCGGGAAGCCAATTCGCCGATGTGTCTTCTCTCCCCTCGATGAAAGCAGAAGTAAACGTGGGGACATGGAATGTCCGCACCAGGTTTGAACCCAGTAAGGCAGCCCAGACTGCAAACGAGATGAAGAGGTATCACACTGAAGTGCTTGGAATTTGCGAAAGCAGATGGAATGGGAGTGGACTCTCCAAACTGTCAACTGGAGAATCAATAATCTACTCCGTTACTGTCACCCAGACGACAACTATGAGCACACTGAGTTATGGAGTGGCTATCATGATGTCCCCAACAGCATAGAAGGCTCTCATGCAGTGGGAATCAATCTCCTCATGCAAGATCATGACAGCAAGGTTCAACTCAAAAGGAAGGAAGGTCACAATCTTACAATGCTATGCACCTACAAATAATGCAGAGCAAGAGAAAAAGGAGGAATTCTACAGACAACTTCAATCAACACTGCACAAGACACCACTCCAGTTGGCGATATCAAGATTCTAATGGGCGACATGAATGCCAAACTGGGAGGGGACAACACAGGAAGAGAACTAACCAGAGGTCGAGAGGCGCTAGGTGAAATGAACGAGAGTCGAGAATTGTCTGCAGAATTCTGTGCATTCAACGATTTCGTGATTGCAGTGAGGCAGTGTATTCAAGTACAAGGATATCCACAAAGCCAGCCACATAGATTTCACCAGACACCAGGACACATTAAAAATCAAATCGACTTTGTCTCAATCTCAAGAAAATGGGGACGCAGTCTACTTAACACAAGGTCAAGAAGAGGAGCAGATGTAGGTTCACACCACTCACTATCTAGTGCAAGGGACCTTCCAAATCAAGTTGAAAGCCTTCAAGGAAGCTGGTGATAGACCGCAGCTCAAGTACAACACTCGGAACAGAAACTGAAGGATGAAACTACAAAGGAAATCTTCACGACAGCCAGCCATCAAGACAAAATGGGAGATACCGAGGAACATCCCTGAAGAAACCTGTGTGGAAGAACACTGGAAGTCTTTGAAAGCTATGTGGAAAGAAACCTGCACAACAGTATTAGGAAGGAAGAAGAAAGAAGATAAGGAATGGATCTCAATGGATACATGGAAGCTGATAGAGCAGGGAGAGGAGGATGGTGAAACAGAAGACAAACCAGTGCAGGGACGCTCAACGACAAGAGGAACTGAGCACAACGTATAAAACACTGAACAAAGAAGTAAAGAAGAGTGCACGCAAAGACAAAAGACACTTCTATGAAACACTGGCAAGTGAAGCAGAACAGGCTGCCGGCTGGTAGGAGAGACCTGACGACATTGTATCAAATAACCAGGTTGCTATCAGGGAAGAGACCAACACAGATGAAACCAATAAAAGATGAAGAAGGAAATTTAATTACGAAAGAAGAGAAACAGAGGAAACGATGGGCCGACCACTTCAAGAAGCTCTTGAATCGACCACCACCTGCACTTCGTCCAGAAATACCACCTGCAGCCGCTGAATTACAAGTGAACATAAATCCCCCAACGAAAATGGAAGTCCTGAACGCCATAAAGCTACTGAAATGTGGGAAAGCAGCAGGACCAGACGGGATCCCACCAGAAGCACTGAGAACATATGCAGAGACAACAGCAGACATGCTCACACTACACCACTATTGCAGAAGGTGTGGAAGGAAGAGAAGGTACCTGACGATTGGAAGAAGGGTTACCTTGTCACACTGCCGAAGAAAGGAGACCTCAGTGTTTGCAAGAACTGGCGCGGAATCACTCTCCTATCCACCCAAAGCAAGCAAAACATTAAGCCGACCAGAACAGGCAGGCTTCAGGAAGTACAAATCATGTGCACACCAAATTGCAACGCTTCGCATCATCATAGAACAGAGTATAGAATGGCAATCAGCTCTCTACCTCAACTTCATCGAATTTGAGAAGGCCTTTGACAGCGTCGACCGACAGGTAATTTGCAAACTGCTTCAATACTACGGAGTACCGCAAACCTATATCAGCCTCATTCAACAACTATATGAAGATGCCACATGCCAAGTAATTCACAATGGGAAGCTCAGTGATGCTTTTCAAGTGAAGTGAAGTGAAGACAGGAGTGAAACAAGGTTGCCTACTATCCACCATGATACTCCTGATTGTGGTCAACTGGACTGGATCATGCAGCAAACAGTGGGGAGTGAGAAGAGGGGGTTACGCTGGCTGGACTGCGGAAAAGGACCTAGAAGATCTGGATTTCGCCAGTGATGACTTGTGTCTGATGTCACATAAACTTGAAGATCTACAGGTGAAAACTAACAAGTTGATAGAAGAGGCAGCGAAGACGGGACTTCAGGTGAATATAGAGAAGACAGAGGTGATGAAGATACCGCACGAACAACTCCAACAACAACAACAAACTCCAATCACCATCAACGGGAGAAACTCAAAGGAAGTAACCTCCTTCACCTATCTAGGCAGCACTGTTTCAACTACAGGTGGCGGGACAGACGAGGACGTCAAAGTCAGAATCGGAAAAGCAAGACAGGTGTTCATTAGCCTGAAACCAGTGTGGAGATCCACTTCACTGCACTCAGCATGCGGAACAACATCCGGATTTTCAACACCAACCCAGTCAAGTCAGTGCTTCTGTGTGATGGTTCAGAGACTTGGCGCGTCACGAAAGGGATTTCCAACAAACTACAGACATTCATTAACAACTGCTTACGCTGGCTCGATACTGAAGATGGGATGGCCAGAATAATAAGAATAAGCAACAAGGAACTCTGAGAATGAACCGACGAAGCAAGAACCTATCACCCAACAAATATGCAGGAGGAAGTGGAGATGGATTGGCCATGCACTGAGAAGGCCGGCTGAGGACATCACGCGTCAGGCCAGTTGCTCGAGTGGAATCCCCATGGGAAGAGACGAGTTGGAGGTCCGTGGTGAAGAAGACATGGAGGAGATCGTGCGAGGAGGAAATGAGAGTTTGTGGGCTGTCGTGGAGCCAGGTTCAAAAGATCTGAGAGAACAGAGGTCACTGGAGACGTGCTACTGAAGCCTTATATTCCACTAGGAACCCAAAGTACTAGTGATAATAATGATAATAATAATACGCAACCATCAATACAAGTCCTCAATATATATATATATATATATATATATATATATATATATATGTTCATGTCTAAGGGATGTTATCAGTGTGCAATAGTGTTGGAACGAAAAAAGAAAGATCAGTACAGTACAGTAGTACTAGTAGCAGTAGTAGTAGTAGTAGTAGTAGTAGTAGTAGTAGTAGTAGCAGTAGTGCGAATAGTAGTAGTAGTTGTTTTTGTAGTAGTGTGAGTAGTAGTAGTTGTTTTTGTAGTAGTGTGAGTAGTGTGAGTACTAATAGTAGTAGTTGTTGTTGTGGTATTGTGAGTAGTAGTAGTAGTAGTAGTAGTAGTAGTAGTAGTAGTAGTAGTAGTAGTAGTAGTAGTAGTAGTAGTAGTAGTAGTAGTAGTAGTAGTAGTAGTAGTAGTAGTTCCATAAAGTAGCTGTAACTAAATAAAATTATCATTGATATTTATAAGTAAAATTATAACTCTGGTAACTTAGTTAAATATATGTGGATGAGTAAACAAATGTTATAATGCTTTATTGATTGTGTAGTACTTACTGAGAGGAACACAATCTTAACTAAACTACTGACAAAAGTGTTATGCAAGTGATGATAATAATCATACTATTAATAATAATAACAATACTACTATTACTAATAATAATAGTGATTGGAAGTATGCAAAATGATGGCAGCAAATCACAATAATGTATGTCAACAGCCTATGTTTATGTATAACAATGTATAAGGAGAGATGAAAAATTTCATATAAATTTGGTAAACATGTACAGTTGTAGCCTTTTATTTCACCGTATTGTGTTGATATATATGTAACAACTCACTGAACATTTTTTTGTTTAGTTGTAAAGACTATTTTTGCTCGCTTGTTGACCAATACAACATCTTGATATATACTTCACGTTAACTACGGATATTTACACTGTCTGATGGAAGGGGATCAGCAGTGTCGGAAATTCTAAATAGGCGATAGTGTATCTGGACATTTATATAAAATTTGGAGTCAGATTTCAGAGCTTGACACACTTTCACAAGGTATCTTTCACCAAGTAAATTACTAAGTATCAAATAAACATAACTTACTGTTTTTCATCTGAATGAGTTTTAAATAATCGGGGGTTGAGAATATTACTTTAACATTTATTGACTTCAAGCTCCATGTGTTATATGAATAAAAAAAAACTTCAAGTTGATATTCATCATTGACTGATAACAGTTGGAGGAACATTGAAAATTTAGCAGCATTTGACATGTGTTTCGTTGACTCATTACATCAGAATCTGATGATCTATATTTCCTATATTTATCAGTTAACGATATAGCTCAATCATCGACCAATATCACCATTGAGTCCTTCTTTTTAAATCTACCAGGTTTTACTGAGGAAGCTGAAAGCCTTTAGTTCAAACCCTGGAGGATGAAGTTATAGGTGTGTCCTACTGAAGAGTCATATACTAAGTGAAAATGGTTGTCTAGTGTTTCCCATATTTCCATTATTCCCCTAATTGATATCAGTTTCGGGATGAATATCAATTTGGAAATGTTTTATTACCTATAGATTATGTATAATCACTATGAAAAACGAGAAAATTTATAAGGAATTGAGTGGATAGGATGTTAGAAATAAAATCACTGTTTCATTATTTAACTTTCATTACATTTTGAAGTGTAGGGATTAGTTGATTAAAGTGTACACAATGTAAACAAAGAAACAGTAAACAATAGTAATGATATTAAATTTCATATAACATAAGTTACATAAAAACAAACCAGTTTAAAGGTTTGATTATTTTAGTAACAAGAAATGACTGTTATGTATAATGTTAAGGTACCTTTATTCATGGCACATAAGAGGTGTGTCTAGAGAAAGAACATTAATGCTTCGCAGAATAATTGTTCAGCAGACTGAAACAAGTTCACTTCGAAATTAGGAACTATTCGGTTATTGTTTCAACCATCGAATATTCTTGAAGGTAGGGAGGGTAGTACAACCATAACCTTGGATTGTGTGCATTCGTTATAGATTTGTTGGCATGGTGCATGCTGAAAAATACGACTGCTAGAATTCTATATGGATGAAGGACTGGTTTGGTAAATCTGAAAAATGAATAACAAAAGTGAGCAGCAGGCGATATTCGAAACAGGAAAACAAAAGTACTACGCAGAAGTACATCGACCATGAAACACGCAGGTGAGTTCTTTGTACTGACTACAAAATTTACTTGAAGAAGTATCCAAAACCTACTGTTGAGAGGTAAGCTTATGGGGAAGAAGAGGAAAGGGTATACAGAAGTAGTGGAAACTAAACTGAAGCCAAAATATCACTGTGGAATAGAGAGAATAGAGGATTTTGGACCACTTATTATGTGTGCGTTCAAGATGTCGATGTTCAAAGCAGTATGCAGTTCATATTAATTCACACAGTTGGCTGCACTCTTCATTGACACACGAGCCGAGTGATCCACCGCTCAGAGTTGTACTCCAACAATCCCATACATCGGTTTCCCGAAAGCATAGAACTGCTGGTTCAACGCTGCAACCTAGGATTGACACCGCCAGGTCAGCGTACATGCAATCCAGCACGAAGCCGGGTGCATGAGTGGGCAGCAAACCCGTGAATGGCAAGCCAAACCGGATCGCTTAAACAGTGTAAAATGGTGAAGACATAAACAGGGCGGAGCGCATGCATATAGCACACCACTCTCTTCAAACCTCGCACACGACCCTGAGATCATGTACTGTCCCATCACTCCTGGCGATCTGGCAACATATAGTCACGTGAACACCATCAGAGTATCTGATAGGCTAGGTACCCCGGTCAAGTAATTATCGAATTTCCTCTTTGATATGAGGATTTTATTGGCATGTTTTAGCACGCCGTATTTTTATATCATCAGCATGAGAATGCATCTCAGCGTCATTTATATCAAGGCATGTCTCAGCATACCGTATATATATATATATATATATATATATATATATATATATATATATATATATATATATAGGGATATCTTGTAATGATCTTTCCGCAGGTTCACCTACGGAAACCTTGTTACGACTTTTACTTCCTCTAAATAGTCAAATTAGGTTGTCTTCTCAGCATCAGTTGAGCGGCAAGCCACTTCAACGACACCAATCCAACGACTTCACTAAACCATTCAATCGGTAGTAGCGACGGGCGATGTGTAGAAAACCTATGTACAAAAGTTCAATGAAGTTATAAACATTTAAATAAAACTCATGCTGTAATGGTAGAGGTTTACAAAGAATAAATGAATGTGTAATGCACAATGAATGATTCCAACTGATTTATATCTCAAGTTTTCATTCATCCTAGATTGATATCAGTTGAAGGAACAATAGAAATCTGGGAGCACTCGACAGCTGTTTTGTCCTAGTATGGAACTCCTCAGCAGTGAACACCCATGACCCCGCTAGGGATCGAGCCCGTGACCTTCAGGTTCCATGGCCAGCACGTTACCATTAACCCATATTTCTATATTTCCAACTTCTGTTAGGTCATGATATAACGCAACCGCCACCTAATGTCATCATTTATATCCTTCAAAGATAAACAGTCATCATACATGAGTCAATGCGACCTAGATAGTTTTTTGACGGAATTGAAAGAATAAAAAAGGAGGAAATTTCATTCAGTGTGACACAACTACTTAAGAGTTTCTCGTTACAAGAAAGCGATTTGAAATCTCTTTCACTGCTTATCATTATTCAACAGTAGCATTTTATTGTTGTATAGTTTTACAAGTGGTCAAAGTTTCAAGTCTTTTTCAGGTTCAATATTCCTCCTCAAAATTAAAACATATAATTTGCTACATCTCAAGAAAGATCCTTTCTTTGAAACTGTTGTAGATTATTAAACAAATCGTATTAGTATTACTCATTCGAAAGTATATGATGCGTAAGTATCTAGAAGCAACTTTGAGCACCACTTCACAAACTGTTCACCAAAACTTCGACTTCATATGTTCTTAAAAAAGACTATTCCTAGAAATTTCTTTTTTCTTCAGTGTTATACATAGTAAATAATCCTAAAATTATTCAACTCTTTCTTAATAATCAGTTCAATCATCTTTTTGAGGCCTTCTATTATCAAAGAAAAGATTTTCTAGTCTGATAGACTAAACAGTCTAAAAGTTGACACCGTCGATTCAATGATATAATATATATTGCTGACTAATATCTGTTTTTCTATCTACAAAAAAGGGTGGGGTCGTGGGTGCGCACAGCTGAGGAGTCCCATACTAGGACAAAACAGCTGTCCAGTGCTCCCAGGTTTCCTTTGTTCCTCCAACTGATATCAGTCTACGATGAATAACAACTTGAAAAAAGGGATGTCTCTTTATGAGCTTTGAATAGGAATTCAGTGCTCTTTAATGTATAAAAAAGTTCATAAAAATATGAACTCTGATTGTTTTGTAATAAAAGCCAACATATGTGATTGATTCCTACATTTTATAAGTTTCAGTTATATTGCTGTGTAGATTTACTAAAGTTATTGTGATAAGATTTCAGTCGTAACTCATCAAAAGATATACTTTTTGAAGTTGTGGGAATCCTAATTGTTTGTATTCCTAAGAAAGTGAATCATGCAGTGGGGTAACAATATAAGTAGGTATTGAATATTTAACTGGCAGTTATGACCATAATTTTTGTGTTTCTGTTAGAGTGGCTCAAGCTGACTATCGGAAGAACAAATCCTATTAGGATCAAATCGCAACGCTACGCATCATCATAAAACAGAGTATAGAATGACAGTCAACCCAACTCAACCTAGGATTCATCAACTTTGAAAAGGCATTCGGCAGCGTTAACCGAGAAGTAGTTTGGCAGGCAGCTGCTTCAACACTACGAAGTGCCAAGAATCTTTATTAACCTCATTCAACAGCTATATGACGATGCCACATGCCATGTGATTCGCAAAACAATGAAAAGCTCAGTGATGCCTTCGAAGTGAAAACAGGAGTAAAACAAGGCTGCCGCCTACTATCACGCATCGTCTTCCTGATTCTGGTCGACTGGATGATGCAGCAAACTGTGAGAAGCAAAAAAATGGGCATACGCTAGCTGGACCAATGAAAAGGGCCTAAAAGATTTGGGTTTCACCGATGATTTATGTCGTGCAAACTCGAAGATCTACAGGCGAAAACTTACGAGCGGATAGAAGAGGCAGGGCAGCGAAGACGTCACTTCAAGTGAATGTAGAGAAGACACAGGTGATGAAGATACCCCAACTAACAACAACATCAACAACAAGCACCCGATCACCATCAACAGGAGAAACCTAAAGGAAGTAGTCTCTTTCACCTACCCAGGCAAGGAAGCATCGTTTCAACTACAGGTGGCAGCACAGACGAGGATGTCAAAACCAGGATCGGAAAGACAACAAGACAGGCC